GAAATAAACATTTCCAGCATTTTAAAGAACCAAAGCATCAAACTGCTCATTTGACCAAGGGGAGACTTACAAAAGCCTCAGGATGTAGCTTGAATCCAAAGTGGATTTTAAACCACCACTTGCCGAGAACAGGATTCATACAGAAGGTATAAGGTGTGTGAGTGGGTGGGTGTCGGGTCCACATTTTGGCCCCATCTGTCAAATGCCCCTCTCTGCAAAGTACGGTGCAGGCACTATTCAGACTCAGGTCCCAGCACCCTGGGGGCACACTCCAGGATGAATTGCAAGGCAATTACAGCATCTGCCACACAGGGGCGCTGTGAGGGATAAAGGCTGTGGTCCTGACTCGAGTGAGGTAGGCCCTCCCACTGCTTGAGAAAAGGAGGTCATACCTCCCACCAGCAGCTCTTGGGCAAGAGAAAAGACTGGAGGGGAGAGGGCTGAGCGTGTTCCCTGGCACGGGAGAGTCCCCTGGAGTGAAACCTACGCCTTCTGCGAGTCACTCTCTGGCTGTGCTTCTCACCTGTCCTGCTTTCTCTGCCTCAAGAGTTTTGGGGATCGAAGCAGGGTCTGCAGGCCGGCTTCCGACTCCAGAAGCTCACTCTTCAACTGCCACATCCTCTTAGCAGAATAACTGGGGGCGGGGAGAGAAAAAGAAAAAGATTCGGGGAATGTGATTGCCTCCCGGGAAGGAGACCATGGATGCTGGCCCGGCTGGGAGCCCAAAAACTGGGTATGATGCAGGCGCCAGAGGAGCAGATGACAGAAACCCTCTGGGCAGAGCTGAGGACCTGAGTGTCCAAGTGAGGCAGTCTTCCCATCCCAATCTCATTATGTCCCTCTTCGAAAGGTGTTTTGTACACCTTAAGTTCAAAGGAAAAATTTGGACAAAAGGCAGGCTGTTCCATCCCCTAAGCCAGTACTTGTTGGAACACATGGCTTGCCGAGCGCTGACGAGGCAGGGCAAGAAGCCCTGGACCGACCTCGCTGAGGTCCTTAGGCGATGGCAGGGTACCCGCTCTGAGTCAGACGAAGGGCATGCTTCTACCATTACCAGTTTCTCCGCCACCACCAAGACAAGCCGTGTCTTTCTCTTTCCCACGTCCCTGGGCCGAGAAGCAGGTGTGGTCTATTGCAGCAAGTTTACATTGACCAAAACCACATTCCTAGGTGCCTCAATGCTATTGACATGTGCAGTTTCTGAGGCTGAATGACCCCTGACCTCTGGCCAGTCCCTGGGCTTACTCCTCCGTATAACCGACTCATCCATCAGGGAGTAACCATGCTCTTAGGACGCTTCTCCAGCTCAGCCCCAGAGAGAGCGTTGCATGGGTACAGGAGAACAAAGTTTGCCTGCTGCTGGAGCCCAGAGCTTCCTCGAGGGTGCTCACGGGTCATCTGCTCAGCTGAACCTGCCCCCCACTCCAGCCCACCTTCGTGTCAGCTACTCAGTTGCATTCATTCATCCGGGGTATTGATATCATGTGTGCCAGCACCAGGCTCTGCCAGGTGCTGAGGGTATGATAGGAGGCAGACCAGGTACAGTGCCATCTCTGATGGAGTTTACCTTTGCGTGAGAAGAGATGTGAGAAGCAAACAAATAGAGAAGCCAGTTTCTAGTGGTGACATGTGCCGTGGGAAGCACGCAGGTTGTTGGGGGCATGGGTGTTAATGTCAGGAAAGCCTCTCTGAAGAAGGGACACCAACCTGATGCCTGAGTGGTGACTTTCAAGAACATTTCAGCCCTGGGCTCTCATCAGGAGAGGCCAAAAAGGAGCCGTGATGGAGAACCAGGTCGCAAGTGTGAGGCAGAAGGCCCCAGCACTAGCCTAGTTCATCAGTTACAGGTGCCCGGCACTTCCCTTGCTAGTCCAGTGGTCAGGACCCCAAGCTTCCACTGCAGGAGTCATGAATTCGATTCCTGGCCAGGGAATTAAGATCCCGTGGCCAAAATATATACAGGCGCTCACTGCAGAAACATGTGCAAATGTGTTCAGGACTCTGTCTGCCCGCCCCCAACTCTGAGGCACAGGACTTCCACGGCCACCAGTGCAGGTGGGATACTCTGGACTTCTCAGACCAGAAAGCAAGCATGACCTGCTCAACTAGGAAGAGAGGTCATCCATGCAAGGACACTCAGGTAACCCGCAGTTGCTCAGATTTCCCCAGATGACCCTCCAGTCGTGCCCATCACAGGACGCAAAAGGCCTCAGCTGGCTCCTGTGAACCCGCATCCCTCCTGTTTGTGGGTGCAACCCCCACTTGGCATTCTCAGAAGAGGGGCTGGTTCGGGTGTGGCCAGGGTCCCAGGGGACTCTGGGCTCCCGGGCCGAGCTGCCTAGCACATCCTCCCTTCCAGAAGCTCCCCGTCTCCCCACCACGTGGAAGGGTGCCAGGCCACACCAAGGCCTCACCCAGGAGCAGCTCACCCCCCTCCTAAACGTCGCAGCTCCGGGCACTTCCTGGTGTGACGAGTGACCTTGACTCACATGGGTGAAGTAATGGCTTTCAGTCTCAACCCTCTTGGTCACATTGCAACACAGCCTTCTGGAAAGAACTAGCTCCCAGGTGCCAGCTCAGGGAATTTCAAACACCTCCCAGGCTGGGCTTACCAAACTCACTGTCACACGGTCGCTCCAGGTGCCAGAACCACCCTGCCCCTTTTCCACCAAAGATGCAACAGCAGGGCTTTGGGCAGGCAGAGGCCAGAGAACTGGGTCTCATTCCCAGCTCTCCCTTTGCTGTGTGACTTTAGACAAATGACTCAACCTCTCTGAGCTGCTGCCTCTATATCCACATATGAACTGTGGGCAGAATTGGATGAGGAAATGGCCGTGAAAGCACTCTGTGAGTTGGAGAGCACACCACCAGTGACAGTCACTCTGTCTGGTTGAAAAACTGATCCTAATAGATGAACTTCTGACTTTTTACCCAAGGAGTCCTTGGGGTATGAGAACTGATATCCCCAAATCCACTTCAATGTCTTTAGTACATCAGCAAGTAAACTTCCAGGGTAAAATCCAAAATATACACTCCATGCCACATTGTAAAGCTTTATGATACAATGTCAGGAGATTCCCATATATGTAAATATCATAATAAATCCTTTGCGCTAAAATAATTCCCTGGAGACCCAGAATTGGAGCTTCCATGGTACTACTGGCTATAAATTGGCCTTGCAGTGACATATTGTAGGTGAGCCCAATATCAAGTCTTTTTATAGTTTCGAATTTATGCTACAAGAGAACAATGAACAAGTTCTAAGCTACATGCTTTGAAGAGGCACAAAGGATCCCGGCCCTGCTACTCAACAGATCCCTCTCTGGCCAATGACGTTGCTGCTCACAGCTCTTCAAATGCCTCTTCTCAGAAGAAATGGCTAAATCTTTACCATTCCATTTAATCAACCAAATGAGAGACAAGGCTCCAGTCCTTCCTCACCCACAGGCAACGAGATCAGTCTAACTGCGATGCCCAAGGACAAATGACCAAGGATTTGGCTTTGAACAGGAAGGGACAAGATGGGCTAGACAGGAAGGGACAAGCAGGCTGGGTCTGCAGAAGGTTGTTCACCATATGGTACATGCCATCTTGGCTGGTCTCCTTCCCCTACAGTAGAATAGACCTCCCCCAACTCAGAAAGTAGGAGTATAATCCTCCTTGAAAAATAAGGGATGTGAGGCTTCACCTGGAAGGCCCCAGTGAATTTAAAACCCAACTGGCATACAACTCGCCACTTTTTTTTTTTTTTTGGCCATGCATCATTCAGGATCTTAGTTACCCAAGCAGGGATCGAACCTGCCCTCTGCATTGGAAGCTCAGAGTCTTAACCACTGGACCACCAGGGTAGTCCCAACTTTCCGTCTTTCTTCTCCCTGATCTCAGAAGGAGAGCCTAAGAAAGGCTGATACTCAAGCTCCATTTGCAGCCAGCTGGAAGGCAGCATCTCAAACACCCCTGTCCAAGACCATCCTCTTCGTTTCCCATCTCCGCATGCTCTGAGCCCTCCCCATCTCAATCTGCCGCTCTACTCTCCAGCTCAAGCAAACATTCAGAGGTCATCCTTAACTCTTCCCTCCTTCATGCCCCGCGTCCAGTCCATCAGAAAATTATGTTGGTACCGCCTCTCCAAGAAATCCAAGGTCACATAATGCTTGCTTACTCCCAGCGTCACCTCCTGCAACGTCCTTCTCCCTAACCTTTGAGCGGGCCACCTTCATTCCCCTGTCCGGGCCTCTGCACCACTGCCCCTTCCCTCTGGCATGCTCGTCGCAGTCCAGCTTCTCCCCATCACTTGGGATTAGCTCCTAAAGACTCCTGCTCTGCTCCCCTCCCTAACGTTGGCCTCCTCCCCCAGCCTCCCCTCCAGCCCGTCTCTGCTACATCGTGCATTTTTATTTTCCTCTTCATTTGATGTGGTGACTCTCTGTCTCCTGCAAGGCCCACAAGCCACAGGGGCCACGTCTGCCTTATTCACCATCATAGCCCTGGCACCTGGAAGTATTACCAGCATGGGCTGCTCAAAAAGTACTTAATCACCACTTCCAAGAGTCCAGTAACTTCAAGCAGATTGTGCTCGGTACAGCCCGCCGACACTTGCTGGGGTCACCCATGGCCGGGGTCAGCACCTCAGACCACAGGGACGTGACCAAGTTCCTGGTTTGGCTACCAAGGCTGGTCAGTCCTGAGAAGCCCTGCACTGCTTCCACCCCTGGCCTCCGTCCCTGAGGGGTCTCCCCCTTCCCCCCAGGAGCTGGGCTTGAGACCATGAGCCAGCAGACCCTGGCCCCTCGCACCCCAGAGTCCCAGGGGAGGGGAGGGCACCCGCCTCCCCTTCTTGGCCTCACCAGCTGGCCAGGCCAGCCCTGCCATTTCCCCATCTATAAGACAGGGACAAAGAATGCTTTATCACCCCACCTACTTCTCACGGGTGTTATGAAACTACTATTTGCTTGGAAAACACTCTGAGAGCAACTCGGGTAAAGGTGCCCGTGGCTCAGATGACGCTGCTGTATTCAGTCCAGGCCAGAGAGGGCCAGGCCAGCTCGTCATCCGGTGACCGCCTCAGCTGCCCGAGGGACGGGAGGGACACCGCCTCTCCTGTGTCGCCAGGCCCAGCGTCACCAAGCCTGCTGGCCGTGCTGTGGTCCCAGAATATATCCACGAGGTGCGTGTGCATTCCCGGAGCCACCTGACCCTCTGATTTCAGCAGAATATGACCTCTCCCGGGGCCTGGACAGTGGCCACCGAGCACCCAGCCCACCCTGGTGTCAGGAAGGCGAGTCGAGGGTTACCTGGGGATAACCTGCCTGAGCTCGGGGCCACGGCCCGGGTGCCAGCCTCGCAGGCCAGGAGCCAGGAACAGATGAACGCGACGGTCTTGGCCCCTGGCCTGGGGAGGGCAGATCTCACCAACCTGCACATGCTCAGGTGCATCTCACCAGCTGCAGGAGCAGCAGCCACCGTGTTGCCATGACAACCAGGCTTGGCAACCATCTCTCTGCCTCCCAGGAGGGGACAGTCCCCAGAACTGACCAGGCATTTCCTGGAGCCACTCAAGGTTGACGATGGAGAAAGGCAGAGAGGCGGGCAGTGCGACGGACAGGGGGCATACGTGCCACTCCGCCAGCACTCCGGCCTTGGCGTTCTGCGGGACACTGAACTCAGCCCCACCCGCTCTCTCTGCCTGCAACATCCACCGGGGGGCTGCCGCTTCCCTAAAACGGGTGGCGAAGCATTTGGCAGACAGTGAACAACAGACAGCGTGTACATTTAATTATAACTCTCCCGGATAAGAAGGGCTGGCTATATACAGTATGTCTGCCTGTCACTAATTATATTTATTTTCAAAGGACGAGGGGGAGGGGGATCTTCTGAAGATGAGTCAGAAAAAAAAAATCCTTCAGTGTTATGAAAGCAGAGAGATATCTCTGGAGGGTGTCTGTCATGCGTGGCTGTCACAGCCTGATAATGGAAAAGCCTGAGCCAAGAGAGCCACACTGCTGAACACCTCAAGGGGGCTCTCCTGGCCCCGGGTCCCCTCAAGTCAGGACCCGAGCAACTGAAGGGCCTTCCATGCCCTGCCCCCCACCCTGAACAGAGCCTGCTCTCTCGTTCTGGCAAAGACAGGGTCATTCAGTGTCTACTGTCACCTTAATTGGGAGGCAGCTTTCCAGCTGAAACACAGCTAAGGTTTTTTTTTTTCCCTCATCAAAGGAAAAGCATCCTGCCCAGATGGCCAAAAGGAAAAGGCTTCATCTTCAGTCCCCCATACAGCCCATGATGTTATTTATAACAACACCTAGAAACCCAAAATAGTCAGCCCCACGCCCGGCAGAAGCCAGTCCACACTTGGGAGGAAGGCAGACCACTGGGCTAATTTCAGCTGGACATGGGCCCCGCACGCATGTGCACTCACCTCCACATCCGAGTGTGCGAGGTGCATGTGGTTGTTTGGAGGGGACTGTGTATCAGGCCCCATCAGCTCCTCCTCCTCCTCCAAGGCTGCCCTGGCCCCTCCCCACCACATGCACCAGGGGCTGAGCAGCAAAGGGAACCCAAGGTGACACATCCGCCCAGAGGAGCCGAAGCATTCATGAAGAAGGCATTTTCCAATAATTTTTTAAATAGTCACACTTGTTTTGTTTGCTTTCTTCCAGGAAGGCAGCACTGTTTTGGAAAAGGAGGGGGAGGGGGGAAAAAAGTGAGTTCATTTCCTGAGTCTTTGAAACGTTTCTCTGTAGATAGCGCATCGAGAAGCTGTGGCCAAAGGCAGAGAGAGTGCAGGGCCGCAGCACACACAGGGCGCAGAGAGGAGCTTGGCCCCCACCCATGTTCGTTAAGGGCCAGCACTGAGGGGCTGTGGAAGGACCTGGGGGAGCAGGTCCCAACAAACGTCATTCAGACCAGCTGTTTTGGAAAGGGTCTGTTTGTCCAGGGAAGGTTGGATGATTCAATCAGTTTATTCAAAGGACAAGGCAGAAAATGGACCTGATAATCAGGGACCCAGGAGAGGGTTATGGGAGCTGCCAACACCTGTCACCGTCCACAGTGATTTTGGAACCCAAGAAAACAAAACCTGTCACTGCTTCTCCTTTTTCCTTTCTATTTGCCATGCAGTGATATGATTTTAGTTTTTAAATGTTGACTTTCAGGTCAGTTTTCTCACTCTCATTCTCTCTCATCAAGTGGTTCTTTAGTTCCTCTTGGCTTTCTGCCATTAGAGTGGTGTCATCTGCATATCTGAGGTTATTGATACTTTTCCCGGCAATCTTGATTCCAGCTTGTGATTCATCCAGCCCAGCACTTCGCATGATGTATTCTGCATGTAAGTTAAATAAGCAGGGTAACAATATATAGCCTTACTGTACTCCTTCCCCAATTCTGAACCAGTCAGTTGTTCTGCAGTTTACAGGGTCACAAAGAATCAGACACAACTTAGTGACTTAATAACAACAACAAACGTGCTTTTCACATTTATTATTTCACCCTGTGAGCAGTGGCATTGTGCCCACTCCACAGGGAAGGCGGGAAGGCTCTGGAGAGTACACAACAGACCCCAGGGTATCCTGCTCTGCCTGTGATAAAGGCAGAGTCTTTCCTGGTGGCTCTCTTGGCCCTCTGTCACTCTGCTTCAGGGCTGTAGCTAGCCTCATGTGCAAAAGGCACTGTGGGGGTGAGTCAGCCCGTGTCTGTCTGTCCATCGATCCCACTAGAATAAAACTTCCATGAGGAAGGGACTTCCCTGGTAGTCCAGTTGATTAAGACTCCACATTCCTGATGCAGAGGGCCCAGGTTCGACCCCTGGTCAGGGAACCAAATTCCACATGCTACAACAAAGGTAGAAGAACGTGCATGCCACAACTGTTAACAAGACCCGGCACAGCCACAAATAAAATAAATAAGTAAATGTCTACATTTTTTTAAAAAAGCTGCTACATATACAAGTCTCTCTCAACAATCGAGAATTTCATTAGTGTGTAAGACTAAGGATTCCTCAGGTGGCGCTGATGGTAAAGAACCTGCCTGCCAGTGCAGGAGACGTAAGAGACACAGGTTCGACCCCTGGGTCCAGAAGATCCCTGGGGAAGGGAAAGGCTACCCACTCCAGTATTCTGGCCTGGAGAATCCCATGGACAGAGGAGCCTGGCAGGCCACAGTCAATAGGGTCACACAGAGTTGGACATGACTGAAGCGACTTAGCACACACAAGCATTTCAAATAACAAGATTATGTTCCATTCCTGGGTCACACGGAATAAATGCTGAAAAGCCTCCCTCCCTCGGATCAGTGGCCTCTGGGAGCAGAGGCCACCAACGGGGGACTCTGTTTTCCCATGGGCAGGACACATAACACACAGCAGAGACGAGCCAGGGCGCCAGGACTGGCTCTCCCACCTCCCACCACCACGCTTTCCAAAAGGCCATTTGGCCCCAATGTATCATATGACTTGTTCTTAGAGTTACATTTTAACTGACAAAGTTTAACAACAACTATGACTTATGGCCTTCTAAAATTGGCAGCAGAAAAATGAACTGAGGAAGTAATGGAAAAAAACCACAAGTGAAGCCACTCTGTAATATGCACAATTTCTTTTTTTTTTTTTTTTTCCTTTCTAAGCATATATATATGTGTGTGTGTGTGTGTGTTTTCGAATGGTAGAAAATATTTTCCAGATACACTGCCCGGGCATTTCCAAGCACGTATTTATGCCAAGTTTATAAAAAGCAGCTGCAGACAGGGTTGACTGAAAGGATTGCTCTGCTGTCTGGCTTCCAGAAGGTGCTTGGGTCCTAGCTCTGTCATCAGGACACATTCTTACCTCCTAAAACCCTCTCACCTGTGTCATGCTCCCGAAAGAGGACAAACCTCTTTGGGGGCCCCGTGACCCAGAGGGATGTGGGGCCCCTAGGCTCCTAGGCATTCACATCACACTTTTGTTTTGCAAGGTCCTATAGTGACCTGTGCCTTATCACTTTTAGTCATTTGAAATCCCCATGCAGACACAGAAAGGAAAGTGTTCTGAGGCACATTTCATAAATATCTGGACGGCCCGCTTGGAGGGGCAGAGCGGTGGGAGGCCCATCGGCGTCAGTTTCTGAATTGTTCAGAGCAGACTGGGGAACTGCGTGGCTGAGCCTGTGTCAAACTCTCTGCATCTTCTCACACGGACCTGAGACTCTCCAGTCCCCTCCCCTCACCCTCGGCGGGTGAAGCCGCCGGCTGCCCAGTGAGAAGCTCCAGCCTCCCCTGCGCCCTGGAGGGCGCCCTGGGACACCCTGAGCCACTGTCCGCCTGCACCCACATCCAGACGCTCGCTGGCCTGAGGCAGGCCCTATGCGGCACGGCCTTAATGAGGATGACCATAAGCTGCTCCCTCGCTCTGCCGGGGGTGACTAATTGGTTAATCCTGGGAAGGCCCTTTGCAGAGGACAGGCAGGGTATTACTCATGGGACTGAAGGCAGGCACCTGACCCAGTCTGGGCCTGAGTCAGCAGGGAGACCTCCCACCTGCAGGCAGGCTGGGCGAGCTGGCCGGGCTCCCTGCTCAAGGTCAGGGTTGGCCAAGGGGAGGGGTGTGGCCAGCACGCCTCCACCGAGTTTGGGAACTGTGTCTCATGGGCGTTTGCATGGTTGAATAAGCCTTCACATGAGTCTGCCAAGAGGCCAGCACACCTTGAGAATATCAGTCAAGACAGGATTTCCTGGTCATTGTTAGGGGAAAATGCTTTTCTCACAGCAAATTCCTCCCAAGAAATGTTGTTTTCGCCGCCCCTGAGAGGGAAATGAGCTGAGGCAGCAGCGACAGGCGGCCTGGGGGACCTGAGACAGGGGTGCAAAGGTCGGGGACAGCTATGTTTTCTCCCCTCCAGCTCCTGGTCCTCTCAATCTGCTCCCTGCGCACCTCTCACAGGAAGAGGAAGTGGCAGCCAGAACTGGGAAGCAGGGGTCCAAACCAGTGCAGGAGGGCGAGGGTCGCACAGGACCGCGCCCCCGCCCACCCTTGACCCCGCGGCGGAGGAGGTTTTGACACAGCGGCCGGCCGCTCAGAAGCCAAGAAAAGAAAGCCTTTGACTGGCCAAATGGACGCCAAGATTCCACTGCCGAGAGCCCGTTTCCTGCACTCTGCACATTCTTCCCCCACCCCGTTCCCTCTTCCAGCACCTTCTCCCAGTGACCCTACTCCACGCTGCCTCTGTGCATGCAGCCCTAGTTTCTTTTTCTTCTAGAACACAAGTCATGCGACCAGAAGGATTGCAGGCACTTCTGCTTTCTCTTTTAGGCCCCCAGGTCCTTAGAAGTCTTTCATGGCCCTTGCTACTTCCCTAGATTGCCTGAAACTCTTAGAGGCCCCCTCACCACACACAGAATGACAAAGATGCAAAAATCGGATGCACAGAGGGGACCTGAGGGCAGAAAAGGAGGCAGAGGGGCTGCTCATCTCTTTGCAGACAGCCAGGGATGGACAGGGCGGACTGGTTGGGGGCAGAGCGGCAGGAACAGGCTATGAAACGGTTTTGTTCTGTTCTGTTTGGAAGGAGGTGGGTGGAAACGACAGTTTGGAGAGGATTAGAATGAGGGAAAACGGTTTCAGGGGAGGAAGCCTCTTTTCTCCAGTTCTAACAGTGCCATCAAGTGGCTAAGTGAGCAGGCGCAGGGCAGAGGCTCAGGGTAGAGCCTCTGGACAGCCCCCGCAGGCCCTGTGGAGAGAGGAGCTGCCCGGACTTTCAAAGGGCACCCAGCTGATGGCCGGGGGCCGCCTCCAGCCGCATAGCCGAACCCCTTTCCCTAGAATGGTTTGCAATGACACAGCCAAGAGGGCTCCCCAAGTGCACCCCAAAAACCCCAGTGGAGGAACTTCCCTGGTGGTCCAGCGGCTCAGACTCCAGTCCCAATGCAGGGGTCCCGGCTTCCATCCCTGGTCAGGGAACTAGATCCCACATACTGCAGCTAGAGATTCCACATGCCACAAGGAAGATCAGAGACCCAGTGTGCTGTGATGCAGCCAAATAAATAAATAGACAAAATACAAATTGTGTTTCCTGAAGGACAAACAAGATGAGCTTCTTTTTAAAAAATAAAACAACCCAAATGGATAGGGGCGACCAAGCTTATCAGGATCCTGCTTCTGCCCACACACACACAGGCGTCGCCTGGAGGCGTTATCCCATGAAAGGCACCAAAGCACATTTGCAGCCGGAAAAACGGTCAGTGGCCAGAGCAAGCCTATCTGGGCCATCAGACCCTTGTCTATGTTCAAGGGACAGTGAGGGCAGAAGGATGCTGAGCGAGACGAGGCAAGGTGAGCACACCTAGGGAAACCTAATCAGGCTAAACTTCCAGCTCAGGACACAGATCTCCTGGCATTTCACTTAACTGTAGTTGCTTTCTTTCTTTTTTTTTTTTTTTCTTTTTTCAACCCTGTAAATCAAAATCAGTTTGGCTTAGAGCTCCACAAATAGCTTTCTTTCTAAAGAGGCATTTTTACTGAACCAGGAGACTTTGCCGCCATCGTGTATTTGGTACCTGGAATCGAGGAGCGAGTGGAGCTCAGTAAGAGCGTTTCCCCGGGAGTCCGGGGCTCTGACGCTCATCACACCCTGACGCTCAGCTGCTGTGACCTCTGAGGCAGTGACCTCATGCGCCAGCTTCTGTGCTCAGTTGCACCCGGCTCTTGTGACCCCATAGACTGTAACCCTCCAGGCTGCTCTGTCCATGGGATTCTCCAGGCATGGATACTGGAGTGGGTTACCATGCCCTCTTCCAGGGGATCTTCCCCACTCAGGGATCAAACCCAGCTCTCCTGCACTGCAGGCAGATTCTTTACCATCTGAGCCTGTTCTAAAAAAACAGGAGATGCAGTTAGATCCACAGTTTTCAAAACTCACTCCTCAGCACTAGGACTTGGAGATGGTTACCATCTCCTTTACCAGAACAACTCGGCCTTTGTCCATTTTTTTCATAGTTGGCTGCTGGGTAAGATCTTACAAAAGTTAGGAGAATTCAGCACCACTAAATCAGCTTTACAACAAATGCTAAAGGAACTTCTCTAAGCAGGAAACACAAGAGAAGGGGAAAAAAAGCTACACAAAATAAACCCAAAACAATTACGGAAATGGTAATAGGATCCTACATATCGATAACTACCTTAAATGTAAATGGATTAAATGCACAAAAGACATAGAATGACTGGGCAGATGAAAACAAGCGCATGGATGCACTTCCACTTACCGCATCACTCTGCTTGGCCCCCAAATTGTATGCAATTATTTTATATTGTTAGTTTAATCATGTTTCCATTATGGCTTGCAACTGTAACGATTTTTTACTTTTTGTCTGGCTATTGATTGTGAAAACTGATAAACGTCTTCTACTATTGGAAAGAAAAAAAAAGATCTTATATGAACAAAGGGTTCCACAGTGTCATAGCCGATTTTTTTAAATTTTTCCTTTTATTTTATTTTACTTTTTATTTTAGTTGGCTGCACCGGTTCTTGATTGTGGGATACGGAATCTAGTTCTGCAACCTAGTCCCAGCGACCAGCAGAGAAGGACCACCAGAAAAGTCTCTTCATGGGCACTTTTGAGGTACTTGCCCGGACCCCCGTTCTCATGGCGCCGCACCACGCTGGCAGACGCCCTGACACCATGTCTGTACATCATGACTGCGTACCCAGAGGATGACTGACCACCCAAGAGATGGACAGCTGTCCCAGGTGACCCAGTCTGGTTCTTCCTCCCCAGAATTTGAAAGTGGGTCAGCCTGGGTCCAAGTCAGTCTTCCTTCAGAGCTGAGGTGGCCAACGGGCAGTGGGTGTCTGGGATTAGGGGAGGGAGGAACCCTGAGCAGCTCTCCACTTCCCGGGGGGTTCCCACCCCCTCCCCCCACATCCCCCTTCAGCACACAATGTTCCCCGTTAAAAGCTGCCGTGTCCCCCTTCAGTAAACATCCCCTATTAAAAGCTTTAAAAGCTCTAGACCGGATCCTCTAAAAGCTTCTTCCTGTCTCTAAGAAAAAGCGAGATAGCCCAGCCCAGTGCAATACACCGCATCTCCCCGGAGACACATGCTGGTTTTGGCCTTTTCTTTTTTAAGTGCAGTTTCTGGGACTTCCCTGGTGGCCCAGTGGTTAAGATTCTGTGCTTCCATTGCGGGAGGCGCAGGTTTGATTCCTGCTCAGGGAGCTAAGATTCTGCGTGCCGCAAGACAAAGCCAAGAAAGAAAAAAAAGGGCAGTTTCTAAATAGACTTTGTAATTTTATGAACTAAAATGTTTACTGCAGTAGGCAAATAATGACTCAGTACAAAGCAACATTATCATTGCCTCTGTGATTAGTATATTCAAAAGTTATTTATAAATCAATCATTTTTCTGCTCTATACATTTTAATTTCAAAAACATTTTTTTGTTCTTATGTTCTCAGACCACATGACTGGTAACACATTTCAAAATTTATTAGTCCTGAAATCTTCTACCCAAGGACTTATGTATCTATAAATATGCTAATTCATTCATTCATCCATTTTCTTAGATGAATTTACCAAGATGAAATTCAAGATGAGTTTACTCTGAGATTTACCAAAGAAATAGATGGCAAAAATTTCTTCAATAGGAGTTTATAGGGTAGAAATGAAATAACGTCATTTTCAGCAACATGGATGGACCTAGAGATTATCATATTAAGTCAGTCAGACAAAGACAAATACCATATGATATCACTTATATGTGGAATCTTTATTTTAAAGACGATAAAAATAAGCTTACTTACAAAACAGAAACAGAATAACATGTCATGGTCCATGCGCGGGTTGGAAAAGAATTTCCAGACATGAGGCAGAATTGTTAGGGGAAGCACACTGATTGAAACCGCCCACCCTGGCCAGGCACCATAGTAACCATTTGCATGAGTTGTTTTATGACAGGAGATCTTGATAAGTAATACGGAACTAGTAAGCCACCACCAGCCGGAAGAATTCGGAAAAGGTCGAGAGGAGACACTGCCTGTCCGTCCACTTCCCAGAATCCCTCTTGCTAGCATCCACCTTGGCTGAGCGATGCATGCGCCACCAGGAAAGACTCTGAATTAGAATGATTGGCCAAAGACCACCCGGAAACTAATCCCATCACCATAAAACCCAAGACTGCGAGCCACGCAGCAGAGCAGTTCTCCTGGGTTCCCTTACCCTCCTGCTCTCCACCCAGGTGCCCTTTCCCAATAAAATCTCTTGCTTTGTCAGCACGTGTCTCCTCGGACAATTCTTTTCCGAGTGTTAGACAAGAGCCCAGTTTCGGGCCCTGGAAGGGGTCCCCCTTCCTGCAACAGAATGAGAGGAAAATAAAGTTTATGAGAGGGAGACACTCTGAGCACAGCAGGCCAGCTCAAGGGAGACCCAACGTTGAACAGGGTCCTTAGTCCACTTTTATACCCAGGGTACAAGGAGTCGGATAGGGGGGTCTTGCGGGTCATTTGCTGATTGGGGGAGGCATGCATACTGGGTGGGGGAAGAGTAAGGCAAATACCTTCTCCCTAGAGTAGGAGGGGAGACAGGTTACACTGTTCCATAATAGTTACAACGTGGGGGAGGGAAGGACTAGAGGGTCAGGTTTTTCTGTTCCTGCATTCCAAGACCCTCCTTGGTTTTATCTGCTCTTTTGTCCTTGGGTCACCACAGAACAGACTTTAAAAACAAACTTACCGTCACCAAAAGGGAAATGTGGGGGTGGGGAAGGATAAATTTAGGAGTTTGGGATTAACATTTACACACTACTGTATATAAAATAGATAGCCAACAAGGACACTGTGTGACACAGGGAACTCGACCCAATATTCTGTAATAACCTAAATAGGAGGAGAATCAGAGGAAGAGTGGATGTGTGTGTACGTATAACTGATCCACCTTGCCATACACCTGAAACTAACACAGCACTGGAAATCAACTATACCCCAAAATAAAATAAAAATTAGATTTAAAAAAATAAAAGGGACTTCCCTGGTGGTCCGTGGCTAAGACTCCATGCTCCCAATACAAGGCTCTAGGTTCAACCCCTGATCGAGGAACGAGATCCCACATGCCACAACTAAGACCCAGCACAACCAAATAAGTACATACATAGATAAAATAAATAAATGTTAAACTTTTTAAAAAAATCATTGGGTTGAAAAAGTAAGAAAAAGAATTTAAAACAGAGCTGATAGGGTATATAATATGAAGAAATCATAATTTTAAGCGCTGTATTGCTGTTCAGTCACTAAGTCATGCCCTACTCTTTGCGGCCCCACAGACTGCAGCACACCCGGCTTCCCTGTCCTTCACCATCTCCCGGAGTTTGCTCAAATTCACTTCCATTGAGTCAGTGATGTCATCCAGCCATCTCATTCTCTGTTGCTCTCTTCCTCTGCCTTCAATCTTTCCCAGCATCAGGGTCTTCCCCAATGAGTCGGCTCTTCGAATCAGGTGGCCAAAGAATGGGAGTTTCAGCTTCAGCATCAGTGAAGCTGATATTATTTTGAATATTATATATATGATATATAATGATATATGATATATGATATATATATATATATATCTCCAGTGAATATTCAGGGCCGATTTCCTTCAGGATTGACTGCTTTGATCTCCTTGCAGTCCAAGGGACTCTCAAGAGTCTTCTCCAGCACCACAGTTCAAAAGCATCAATTCTTCAGGACTCAGTCATTTTTATGGTCCAACTCTCATATCCATACATGACTACTGGAAAAATCACAGCTTTGACTATAACTTTAAGTCAGTATTTCCTAAATTAGGTCTTCTTACACTACAGAAGACCTGTGTCTTCCTCCACAACAGATCAAAAACTCACATAACATCAATTTGTAAAAAGGCTTTCAAGGAGCACATGTATTTGTCAGACTCTGGGTCACAACCTAATGGTGGACCCTAAAATCCATTGAGTCTATAGGAATGAGCATTTTAGATATTTTTCAAATTAGAATGTTTCAGATGCAATAAGGCTAAGTATTGCTATGGAAAACCTGATTTCAGTGCAGGGTGATGATACCAAACGCACCTCTCACTGTGGGTTGGGGGATGGAGGATGGGGCAGGTGGCCAGTGGGATTGGCAGAGTCTAGAAAGCCAGACTTGAAAGCCCCGGTCACTTTTGGTCCAGCTGATGCTTGGCCTGGATGACTGAAGCTATCCAGTAGCCATGATCCAGTCCTCTGACATTATTCATGAAACATATAGCCAAACAGAAATCTGTGGTAGCTGCTATGGCCATGCTATAGCAGAGAATCTAGTTGATAAGTGATGTTTTGATTTACGTGGTACAAACAACATTTTACCTAATTTTTTCTTCAAAAGTGTGATGGAACCTCAGTTTTGTTTGGGGCTCAATACAGGGCAGACCCTTACTACTCAAGACCTGGAACTGGAAGCTGGGCCTCACTGGAGAACTTATTAAAAAGACTTCCAAGCCCCATTCCAACTCAATAAATAAGAATCTGCATTTTAACAAAGGGCCTGGAGATTTGTGCATACGTCTAATTTTTTTTTTTTTTTTCACTTTTGGCCTGGCCAAGAGGCATGTGGGATCTTAGTTCCCTGACCAGGGATGGAACCCCACCCCTGTGTTGAAAGCACAGTGTCT